AGTTCCCGTCTGCATTGTACTTGTGCTCGGTCAGTCCTCATCTATCTGACGTTCTCCAGCCAGGAAATTCCCATGTCCTGCCGCACAAGTCCATCTGTTTTTTTTTTTTTTTGCCCTGCAGCGCAGTGCGCACACTAAAAGCAAACGCCAGGTGCACAAAAATCACAAAAACATGTCCCCAAAGAGGGCCCCCCAAGGGTGCAAGACTATTGATGGGCACTGGGGTCAGGGCTGCTGTTAGAAACCACGGGGCCCCCATACAGCCAACCTGACAGGGCCTCCCAACAAAAAAAAGCAAAGTTTTCTATGCTTCCGTTCTGAATGAACACAGTGAATTATCAGTACTGATCATTCATTGTGTTCATTCAGGAATGAAAGGGGCTGGTAAATGTGACATATTTACTGGACCCTTCCCCCACTCTCCATCTTGTGTGCTTGCCAGCAGCTCTGTGGGGGTGGGAGCACACAGGGGCACCTGGGCAGCAGGGGGAAACAAATGGTGCACAGGGAGAGTGATGGGTGAGACGGGGCGGGCAATTACTGGAACTGATCCCCTGCATGGCTCTCTCTGCAGCAGCTGAAAGCCAGCGGGAGGGAGAAAAGAAGAAGCCAGCTTTCAGCTGCTGTATGGAGAGCCATACAGGGGATCGGTTTCCAGTAATTGCCCCCCTGCCATGCCGATCATCGTCCCTATCCACATCTGATTCATCCAGCTGCCCGGGCCCCCTCTGTTGGCCTGGTCCCCGTACAGGAGGACTAGTGGTACCCCTTATCCATGGCCCTGACTGGCGTACTCATAGTCCACCTGGCTGAAACCATGTAGACCCTGTTTTTTTTAGGGAGACCTGCTGAGGCAAGATCTACCCAAGTACTAAAGTGGGGCGTTCCCCCGACGGGAAACCCTGACCATAAGTCCTCATGCACACGGGACAGAGCCTGTTTTTGGCTTTTGATGTTTTTTTCTACAGCCAGTAAACCTCCCAGCATGTTATCCTAGGTGTCTTTGTACGCATAGACTGCACCCTTCCCGGCATCCCCCAGCATCAGAAAAGTAACAACGTAAAACTGAAGGGGCGCGAGATACCATCGGGTGAACAATGTAAAATGAGTTTCCTGGGCATGCGTACCTACGGAGGACTTCAGGGCTACTACACTTGATCTTAGCCCATAGTCCACCCATAGCCCCATCTGCTCTGGCAAAGACCAGCCAGCATGACTTATACGGAGGCTGTAGCTCTGAAAACAGACACCATTTCTCCAATGTAACGGCATGGTTGTCATCTTTCATCATAAAACATTTGTGGTGGTGACTGGGTCCCTTTCACCCTTAAACATGTGTGCAGCTCAGAAATCAGGTTTCATTTAGGGCCTTGTCCTCATCACTGTAGATGAACATGTTCCAACAGAACCACATTTTTGAATACTGCTCCCACCTATTCTGGGCCATAAGTACTAAGTCTTCCAGCCGGGTAATGTCTTCCGCTTTGTTGAGCCACAACGAGATAGAAGGGGGGTCATGGTCTTTCCGTCATAGAGCTGGGCAGGTTTTGGTGGTGGTATTTAAGTGACGAAGGTCTGATTTCCTATAAGTCTTGACAGGAATATCAGAACAGTGGAGAAGAAAGAAGGCAAGAATAAGTCTTTGCACCTTTTTCCATAATGGTTTAATTACAGGCAAGACCAAAAAATGAGCAGAAGCACCCCCACTCTTCCTGGCATCCCCAGCACCAGTCCGAGGCATCAGGAAAGTAACAACGTAAAACCAAAGAGATGCAATACCATCGGTGTGAACAATTTAAAATGAGTTTCCTGGGCATGCGTACATACCGTGGACTTCAAGCGACTACACTTAATCTTAGCCCATAGTCCATCCATAGCCCCAACTGCTCTGGCAAAGACCAGCATGACTTATATGGAGGCTGTAGCTCAGAAAACGGGTTTTGCCTTTAGGGCTTTGCCTTCATCACAGTAGATGAACATGTTCCAACAGAAACATATTTTTGAATATTGCTCCCACCTATTCTGGGCGGTAAGTACAAAGTCTTCATGCCTGTTAATGTCTTCCACCTTGTTGAGCCATAACAAGATAGAAGGGGGGTCAAGGTCTTTTCCATCATAGTGCTAGGCAGGTTTTGGTGGCGTTAATCAAGTGACGAAGGCCTGATTTCTTATAAATCTTGACAGGAATATCAGAACAGTGGAGAAGAAAGAAGGCAAGATCCTCCAGGACCAGATAGTCCATGAACTTCTGAGTAAGTCTTTGCACCTTTTTCTCAATAATGGTTTAATTTCAGGAAAGACCAAAAAAATGTGAAGAAGTGTCACCCTCTGGGCCATAAGTTCTAAGTGTTCCAGCCAGTTAATATCTATTCCACCTCGTTGAGCCCACAATGAGATTAGAAGGGGTGGTCAAGGTCTTTTCCATCATAGAGCTAGGCAGGTTTTGGTGGCTTTGATCAAGTGACGAAGGTCTGATTTCTTATAAATCTTGACAATAATATTAGAATGGTGGAGAAGAAAGAAGGCTGGATCCTCCAGGATCGGATTAGTCCATGAACTTTCTGAGTAAGTCTTTGCACCTTTTTCCAATAATGGTTTAATTTTGGACAAGACCAAAAAATGAGCAGAAGCGTCCCCCACTCTTCCCGGCAACCCCAGCGTCAGAAAAAGTAACAACATTAAACTGAAGGGGTGCAATACCATCGGGGTGAACAAGTTAAAATGTGTTTCCTGGGCATGCGTACATTCGGAGGCCTTCAGGGCTACTACACTTGATCTTAGCCCAGCAATGGGCAAACTACGGCCCGCGGGCCATATACGGCCGGCGGACCTCAATTTTAATCCGGCTATACCGCGGAGCTAGGCTCCCGCTAGGCTTCTCTCACAGTCCGCCCTGAAGACCGGTGTAGCATGAAAATCTGTCTCCTATGAGGATCTGTCCCCCTCGACGTATCTGCGCATGTGACGGAGATCGCCGATCGGCTGCTAATGCCTGAAACTGGCACATGCGCAGATACGTCGAGGGGGACAGATCCTCATAGGAGACAGATTTTCATGCTACACCGGAAACGGTGCGGGAACACGGCGAGAGGAACGCGCGGAGCAAAGGTAAGTGAATGGACACAGGGGGGACTTGGGGACTTAATATGGGGAATGAATTACTATGGGGGATGAATGAATTACTATGGGGGATGAATTACTATATGGGGGATGAATTACTATATGGGGGATGAATTACTATATGGGGGATGAATTACTGTGGGGGATGAATTACTATATGGGGGATGAATTACTATAGGGGGGTGGATGAATTACTGTGGGGGATGAATTACTATATGGGGGATGAATTACTATGGGGGATGAATTACTATTGGGGGATGAATTAACTATATGGGGGATGAATTACTATGGGGGATGAATTACTATATGGGGGATTAATTACTATGGGGGATGAATTACTATATGGGGGATGAATTACTATTATGGGGGATGAATTACTATGGGGGATGAATTACTATATGGGGGATGAATTACTATATGGGGGATTAATTACTATATGGGGGATTAATTACTATGCTCACTATGGGGGAATATTACTATACTTACTATGGATGACACATACACATCATTCATCTACTCTCGGTCCGGCCCCGGGTCCAATATATGAACCATTGCGGCCCTCAAGTCAAAAAGTTTTGCCCACCCCTGTCTTAGCCCATAGTTCACCCATAGCCCCATCTGCTCTGGCAAAGACCAGCATGACTTATACGGAGGCTGTAGCTCTGAAAACAGACACCATTTCTCAATGTAACGGCATGGTTGTGTCTCTCTCACATCTAAACCATTTATGGTGGTGACTGGGTCCCTTTCAACCTTAAAAAACGTGTGCCTCACCCATTCTACTCAAGGTCATTGGCTTTTCAGAGAGGTCGTATGCTAAGTATTCCGCACCCATCTCTTAGCCGCCTCTCCTGTCAAGGCGAGCGACTTTACGCTGAATATTTTGTGAGATGGTAAAATGAATTGCTAATGAAAGGCTCCACTGAAAAAAACAGAAGAGAAGAATCGGAGCCCGAGCCAAGAAACGGCCAGAAACGGCACTTATTATTTAAGAGAAGAATTGAAGGCTCCTGACCCCAGTATGGGCTCCTGCCTGTTTAGCATATTAACGAGTCATTTCGCTCGATGTATGAAGTGGCACTTCAGACAGAGGTTAACCACGTGAGCCAATCAAGTCCCATCATTAAAGGACTCATGGCTTACTTAACACACCAGAGACCGGGATCTATGTGCCGGGACCGCATTTTGTATTACATGGCAGATGAAGGATTCTAGCAAGCTCTACCTAATTCTGTAACAAATTCTGTCATCAATGAGGTCTATCAATGTTGTCCTCTAATAGGCAGTGCCACTGGATATACGTCACAAAAATACAAAAAAACAAAACTAAACAAAACAAACTCACACCGTGACCCGAGGAGAGCTGCCATCTATTCTTTGGGATCCAAAGACATATAACAAAAAATATCTTCAAAATTCTGCGCTATAATGTGTGACTCCCTAACATGTATCAATAGAGCATGAGCAGCCACCTCCATATTGCAGGCGACAATACATCAAACAATAAAACATAAAAGTGCAGCGCTACATATAACAAAACATTCGTGGAAATATATGGAATAAATGGAAAGTCCAATTCCCATGCGAAGGAGATATAATGTAAAATAAGCCCCTTTTTTTTACTGGGACATCAATCATGAATGCTTCAAATCTGCTCAAGAAGATGAAGGAAATCCACCATCACCAACACCCAAAAAATTCTGCCTCTTACCAGATCAAATTGACCCCCTGTCAATTTGTCTGGACACTTTCACCCCCTTCCTGTCCGGACATTTTCAACCCCCTTCCAGTCCGGACGCTTTCACCTTCCCCCCTTCCAGTCCGGACGCTTTCACCCACCCCCCTTCCAGTCCGGACGCTTTCCCCCCAAACAAAACACCCCCCCCTTCCAGTCCGGACACTTTCCCTCCTTTCAGTCCGGACACTTTCCCCCCTTCCAGTCCAGACACATTCACCCCCTTTCCAGTCCGGACACTTTCCCCCCTTCCAGTCCGGACACTTTTCCCCCCCTTCCAGTCCGGACACTTTCACCCCCTTCCAGTCCGGACACTTTCCCCCCCTTCCAGTCCAGACGCTTTCACCCCCCCTTCCAGTCCGGACACTTTCCCCCCTTCCAGTCCGGACGCTTTCAGTCCCCTCTTCCAGTCCGGACGGATGCTTTCACCCCCTTCCAGTCCGGACACTTTCCCCCCTTCCAGTCCGGAACGCTTTCCTCCCCTTCCAGTCCGGACGCTTTTCCTCCCCTTCCAGTCCGGACGCTTTCACCCCCTTCCAGTCCGGACACTTTCCCCCCTTCCAGTCCGGACGCTTTCCCCCCTTCCAGTCCGGACCCTTTCACAGTTCCCTTTCACCCCCTTCCAGTCCGGACGCTTTCCCCCTCTTCCAGTCCGGACACTTTCTCCCCCTTCCAGTCCGGACACTTCACCCCCCCCCCCCCTTCCAGTCCAGACGCTTTCCCCCCCCCCCCTTCCAGTCCGGACGCTTTCCTCCCCCTTCCAGTCCGGACGCTTCCACCCCCTTCCAGTCCGGACGCTTTCCTCCCCTTCCAGTCCGGACACTTTCACCCCCCCTTCCAGTCCGGACACTTTCACCCCCTTCCAGTCTAGACACTTTCACCCCTTCCAGTCCTAGACACTTTCCCCCTTCCAGTCTAGACACTTTCACCCCCTTCCAGTATAGACACTTTCACCCCCTTCCAGTCCTCCGGACACTTTCACCCCCCTTCCAGTCTAGACACTTTCACCCCTTCCAGTCCTAGACACTTTCACCCCCCCTTCCAGTCTAGACACTTTCCCCCCCCTTCCAGTCTGGACACTTTCCCCCCCCTTCCAGTCTGGACACTTTCCACCCCCTTCCAGTCTAGACACTTTCACCCCCCCTTCCAGTCTAGACACTTTCACCCCCTTCCAGTCCTAGACACTTTCACCCCCTTCCAGTCATGACACTTTCACCCCCTTCCAGTCTAGACACGCTTTCACCCCCTTCCAGTCTGGACACTTTCCCCCCCTTCCAGTCTGGACACTTTCCCCCCCTTCCAGTCCGACGGACACTTTCCCCCCCCTTCCAGTCCGGACACTTTCACCCCCTTCCAGTCGGACACTTTCCGGACGCTTTCACCCCCTTCCAGTCCGGACACTTTTTCCCCCCCTTCCAGTCCGGACACTTTCACCCCCTTCCAGTCCGGACACTTTCCCCCCCTTCCAGTCCGGACACTTTCCCCCCTTCCAGTCCGGACACTTTCCCCCCTTCTTCCAGTCCGGACACTTTCCCCCCCTTCCAGTCCGGACACTTTCCCCCCCTTCCAGTCCGGACACTTTTCTCCCCTTCCAGTCCGGACACTTTCACCCCCCTTCGCATCCATTCATCTTTCAGCACTATCACACTTTGAATGACAATTGCGCGGTCATGCAACACTGTACCCATATGAATTTTTTTGGCATTTTTTTGGACAGATAAAAGCTTTATTTTGGTGGTATTTATTCACCGCTGGGATTTTTATTTTCTTTGCTATATAAATGAAAAAGTCCAAAAATTTTGAAAAAAAGGGTTTTTTCCTAAAAACATTTTGCAAATAAATAATTTTTCATCAAATATCTTGGCAAAATGTATTCCGTTATCTTTTTAGTTAAAAAAAAATAACCCTAATTAGTTTATAACCAAAAATATATAATTTTTCAAATTTTTTTACATTTTACATTTTTTTTTTATATTATTACTTTTGGGTTTTTTTTGGTGTGTTGGTGATGGTGGATTTCCTTCATCTTCTTGAGCAGATTTGAAGCATTCATGACAACATTGATGTCCCAGTAAAAAAAAAAAAGGGGCTTGTTTTACGTTCTATATCTCCTTCGCATGGGAATTGGACTTTCCATTTATTCCATATATTTCCACTTATTTTTTGTTATATGTATATAATATGTTTTTATTATATAACAGTGATTGGAAGCAGAGCTCCTCCACACCCTCTCTTCTATATACTATTAGCCTCCTCTGTGTCCAACATATAAACATAACCTCTAATATGTGACCCTAATATCAATATTTAGTATATCTAGTCATTGTGTCATGTTTTGTATATTTGAATAAAAGGATTATTTATGGATGTTAAATGGAAATATTGAAAATTAATAAAAAAAAAATAAATAAAATATATATAAAAAATGATGTGAACCTAATATCAATATTTAGTATATCTCCCATTTTTAAATCAGTGGTTCTCAACCTTCCTAATGCCGTGACCCTTTAATACAGTTCCTCATGTTGTGGTGACCCCCAACCATAAAATTATTTACCCAGTAATTATAATTCATGAGTGTCGTTGGTCCCAACCTCCAATACTGCTGCTTTCAACACAGTAGCTGCTTTCAACACAGTAGCTGCTTTTTAACAGAGTAGCTGCTTTCAACACAGCAGCTGCTTTCTACACAGTAGTGCTCATTTACAACATCGGAAATATGTGTTTTCTAATTGGTCTTGGGGACCCCAAAGGGTCGTTCGACACCCAAAAAGGGGTCGCGACCCACAGGTTAAGAACCACTGGTTTAAATGGTCATGCTTTTGTATATTTGAATAATATGGGATGATTATTTCTGGATGTTAAATGGAAATATTGAAAATTAATTACTCCAAAAAAAAAAAAAAATATATATATATATATATATATAATGATGTGAACTTAATATCAATATTTAGTATATCTAGTCATTGTGTAAATCATCATGTTTTGTATATTTATAGAATAATAGGATTATTTATGGATGTTAAATGGAAATATTGAAAATTAATAAAATATATAAAAAAAAAATGATATGAACCTAATATCAATATTTAGTATATCTTAGTCATTGTATCCAAATGGTCATATTTTGTATATTTGAATTAAATATGGATTATTTATGGATGTTAAATGGAAATATTGAAAATTAATACAATATTAAAATAAATGATAAAAAAATAAAATAAAATTAGTATATCACACCAATATGAAAATCTTCAAATGTGTATATAATAAAAAATATACGCATAAAAATATCTCACATTAAACAAAAAAACAAACAAAAAAAATGTGTTTTTTTTATGTTTATTAAAAAAAAAATGCACCCAACCAATGTCTTTACATAATAAAAAAAAGTCCATGTGTAAAGTGAAACTGAAAGAGAAGATTTTTTCCTCGGTATAAATGGTCCTTCAATTCATGTGTCATTTTTATTCAGCGCCACACCGTGCCGATCCACTACCCAAACTAAATTGAATCAAAATCACCAGAGCTCCAGGCTGGTGAAATCATAAACCAGCTAACACACAGGGGCTCCGATGCCAAGCAACGATCTCAGCAGCAATATCTCTGACTCCTACTTGACTGGTCAGTCCTCTCACGAAAATGGGTGGAATTACATAAGGAGAAAGGAAGAGGAAACTCCATGGTGTAAAACCGTAAATAGCTTTGTTCCATTAAAAAAAATGAATATCTCTCACAATCTGCAGTGTCTACACCGACACTGGTATAATCAGCGTGTGAATATGCAAACGGGTGAACTTCAGTACTATAAATAACAGTTCTCACCCAGCTACGTGGTGAAGTCACCTCCAAAGTCCCACCCTACGCGTTTCATCATCCAACGTCCTCCAGGAGAGGAAGGCTCCATTTTTTTTTTCAAAATGGAATAAAGCTATTATAGAAAATAGCTAGAATAGAAAATTAAATAATAGAGTGGAATAGAATAGGAAAAAGAATAGAAAAAAAAATAGTAGAATAGAAAAAACAGAACATAATAGAACATAAAAGATAAGAATATAATGAAATAGAATAGAATATAGAACAGAAATAGAAAGGAATAGAAGAGAAAAAAAGTAGAACAGAATAGCGTAAAACAGAACAGAAAATAATAATGAAATAGAAATAGAAACAGAATAGAATAATATATGGAAAAGAAAGGAATGGAATAGAACAGAAAAGAAAAAAAGTAGAATAGATTAGAATAGAGTAACACAGGTGAAAACAGAAAAGAAAAGGAGAGAAAAGATCAAAATAGAATAGAAAATAAAGGAATAGAACAGAAAAGGATAGTATAGAACAGGGGTGGACTGACTATTTGGGAACTCGGGCACTGTCCAAGGGCCCGGGGTCAGTAGTGGGCCCCATGAGATGCCCCTTGGTACCTTTCCTAGGCTTTTTTGGGTGTGGTTTGAGTGTGTGGGGGAGAGGACACAGGGGCCCCATGATCCCCTATTGCCCAGGGGGCCCCATGAGTTGTCAGTCTGCCCCCTGGTATAGAACAGAAAAAAAATAGAAATAGAGAAAGTAGAATAAAATAGAGTAAAACAGAACAGAAGATAATATAATGAAATATAAAAGAACAGAATATAATAATATATAAAAAAGAAAGTAATAGAATAGAATAGAATAGAATAGAAAAAAGTAGAATAGATTAAAATAGAGCAACACAGATCAGAACAGAATAGAACAAACGAAAAGGATAGAAAAGATATAAAAACAGAATAGAAAATAAAGGAATAGAGAAAGTAGAATAGAATAGAGTAAAACAGAAAAAAAAGAAAAGAATATAAATGAAATATAAAAGAATAAAAATATAGAATAGAATAGAAACATAGAAAAGTGATGCCAGAAAAAAGACTGAGTGTTCCATCGAGTATGCATGGTTTTTTTTGGGGTTTTTTTTTGGGGAGGGTTTTTTTTTTTTATGTTTTTGCTTTTGTTTAGTTTTTTTTTGGAGGGGGGAATAGAATAGTATAGAATAGAACAATGTTCTGAAATTCAAATTTTGAATAGAATAGAAGCAGCTAATCTTCACAATGCATTTGGATCGATTCGACTGAAATCCGATTCCATTCCTTTGGAAAAAATCTGAATCCGGTCGAAAACGAATAAACGAAACGAATTTCGTCACAAACTCAACGAAACCAAATTAGTAACGGAACGAATCGGTCCAAAACGAAACAATTTTTTTTCGTTCTGCACATCTCTACCTACTGTATGTATTTAATTACAGCACGAGGATTACAAATAGTTCACAGCGACCGGAAGAGTTGAGTTCCGCTTTAATGCTAGAAATTTAAAAAAAATCGATGTAAATTTGGGATCAGTTGGTGTGTAAATCAGCTGCATGTTGCGGTGGATAAAGCGAAGTTGGGTGCGGAGCCGACTCTTCCTTCCATTGTCCTGGTTATCTAAGGACAGTGAACAGATTTTATTTGGAAACACGCGCAGGAATTGGCTAAACACGGCCCATATGTTGATAAATCCCCGAAGAGCGGCTTGATTCATTGCATTCTCAGGAACAGCAGCTGAGGCTCCGAGCTTTCCTGGGACTTCGCTTTGTACACCTAACCGAGAACACGGGGGGGTCTTCACTACGAGAGAGCTCCACTGGGTTTGCCTTTTTGTGGTCTTCACAAAGGTTCCTCTGATCTATAAAATTGGATTTTACAGCCGTATACACCACTTGTTGTGTTCTAATAATAGGCCCTTGGGGTTTGGGGAATAGAAAACACACTTGGACCCCCTTTATGTTCCCTTGGACCCCCTTTATGTTCCCTTGGACCCCTTTATGTTCCCTTGGACCCCTTTATATTCTCTTGGACCCCCTTTATGTTCCCTAATTTATTGTTTGTCCTAAAGGAAAATGTTACTAAAGCCAGAAGTCACCACATTATGGTTGCCCTCAAAGGGCCGGTTGTATCTGTAAGGCTAGATGTCCACGGCACCTCATCCCCACCCTGACAGATAGTGGTCTTCACAAGGGTTCTCCAACCTCTGATCTCTAAACTTGGATTTTACAGCCGTATACACCACTGTTTGTGTTCTGATAATAGGCCCTTGGGGTTTGGGGAATAGAAAACACACTTGGATCCCCCCTTTATGTTCCCTTGGACCCCCTTTATGTTCCCTTGGACCCCCTTTATGGCTCCTAATTTATTGTTTGTCTTAAAGGAGAACGTCACTAAAGCTAGATGTCACCAGCAGTATGGTTGCCCTCAAAGGACCAGTTGTATCTGTAAGGCTAGATGTCCACAGCACCTCATCCCCACCCTGACAGATTGTGGTCTTCACAAGGGTTCTCCAACCTCTGATCTCTAAAATTGGATTTTACCACCATATACACCACTGTTGTGTTCTGATAATAGGCCCTTGGGGTTTGGGGAATAGAAAACACACTTGGACCTCTTTTATGTTCCCTTGGACCCCCTTTATGTTCCCTTGGACCCCTTTATGTTCCCTTGGACCCTTTTATGTTCCCTTGGACCCCCTTTATGTTCCCTTGGACCCCCTTTATGTTCCCTAATTTATTGTTTGTCTTAAAGGAAAATGTTACTAAAGCCAGAAGTCACCAGCATTATGGTTGCCCTCAAAGGGCCGGTTTGTATCTGTAAGGCTAGATGTCCACGGCACCTCATCCCCACCCTGACAGATAGTGGTCTTCACAAGGGTTCTCCAACCTCTGATCTATAAAATTGGATTTTACAGCCGTATACACCACTGTTGTGTTCTGATAATAGGCCCTTGGGGTTTTTGGGGAATAGAAAAACACAATTGGATCCCCTTTATGTTCCCTTGGACCCCCCTTTATGTTCCCTTGGACCCCCTTTATGGTTCCTAATTTTTTTGTTTGTCTTAAAGGAGAACGTCACTAAAGCTAGATGTCACCAGCAGTATGGTTGCCCTCAAAGGACCAGTTGTATCTGTAAGGCTAGATGTCCACAGTACCTCACCCCACCCTTACATATTGCAAGAGCCCCTCTGAGCCCCCCCGCTAACACAAGGTGAGGACAGAGATGAGGGTAGGAAAGGTACGAGGGCCACATGAAATGAATTGAGAGGAGCAGGATCTGTAGGAGTTCTGTCCTCCTCTCTGCTTCCAACTGCTGAAAATGGGGGGGGGGGGGGGTGGAATCAGAGACAACAGGCAAAGGAGTTCTGTTTGTCTCTCTACTGCCAACTGCTGACACAAGGTGAGGACAAAGCTGAGGGTAGGAGAGGTACGAGGGCCACATGAAATGGCTTGGTGGGCCAGAGTCGGCTGGTAGGCTTTGTGTTCGGCACATGTGGCTTAGACCATAGGGGAACAAAACCGCACATATATTATTATACAGGATTTATATAGTGCCAGAAAGGTTTGCTCAGCGCTGTACATTATAGTGGGGGACAGTACATGGGACAATACAAAAACAATACAATACACGAGGGGTTCGAGGGCCCTGATCCTTGGAGCTTACCATCTAGGAGGGAGGGGAAAGTGGTACAGGAGGAAGTGGCTGTGGGGGATGGAGTGGTGGGAGGAGTGGAGGAGATCGGCTGTTAGGTGAGGGTGGGGTAGGCTACCCTGAAGAGATGGGTTTTCAGGGTGCGCCTGAAGGTGAGGAGGGTAGGTGACAGTCTGATGAATTCGGGTAGTGAGTTCCAGAGGATAGGGGAAGTCCTGGAGAAGTCCTGCAGTCGGGCGTGGGAGGTGGAGACCAGGGAGCTAGAAAGTAGGAGGTCTTGTGAGGAGCGAAGAGTGCGGGTTGGGTGGTATTTGGGTATCAGGTCGGTGAGGTAGTTTGGGGCAGCGTTATGAATGGCTTTGAATGTCTGTGTTAGTAGTTTGAATTTAATGCGTTGGGCAATCGGAAGCCAGTGGAGGGATTGGCAGAGGGGGGTGGAAGACACTGAATGGAGGCCAGTGGAGGGATTGGAAGAGGGGGGTGGAGGACACTGAGTGGAGGCCAGTGGAGGGATTGGCAGAGGGGGGTGGAGGACACTGAATGGAGGCCAGTGGAGGGATTGGAAGAGGGGGGTGGAGGACACTGAGTGGAGCCAGTGGAGGGATTGGCAGAGGGGGGTGGAGGACACTGAGTGGAGGCCAGTGGAGGGATTGGAAGAGGGGGGTGGAGGACACTGAGTGGAGGCCAGTGGAGGGAATTGACAGAGGGGGGGGGGACACTGAGTGGAGGCAGTGGAGGGAAGACAGAGGGGGGGGTGGCAGAAGCGGAGCGGTTGGTAAGGTGGATGAGTCTGGCCGCTGAGTTCAGGTAAGACTGAAGCGGGGAGAGTCTGTGATGAGGTAGGCCGGTGAGGAGGGAGTTGCAGTAGTCGAGGCGTGAGATAATAAGGGAGTGAACGAGTTGTTTAGTAGTGTCCAGGGTTAGGAACAGACGTATTTTGGAGATGTTGCGGAGGTGGAGCCTGCATGAGTTTGCCAGCGATTGGACATGGGGTTGGAAGGACAGGTTTGAGTCTAGAGTGACACCTAGGACTTTGGCTTAGAAGTTGAAGTGTAACAGCCTCGATGTAGATGCCGCCCAATGTGTTTTGAGCTCCTGTTCATCTGCATCTTCCCTGCTGCTGTAGCGTTGTGGTTGGCCATGCTCTTGGATGGACCCATTTTGGGCTGTGGCTAAGATCTCCTAGCTGCCTTCTAGCTCACTGTTTTTTTTTTTTTTACAGCTGTCCCATTTTTCCCTTTTGGGACCCTTTCACCATGGGATTGTATCACCACAGTATGAGGCCTCATCAGTAGACTTGCAACGGCTAAACCCTCTAAGAGTTCTCAAGTTTATTTATGCCCCGAATGAAAAGTGATACTCAAAACGCATCGGGAGGCAACTGCATCAAGACTGTTACACCTAGACCTATAGGAGTTATACATGGAGTGTAGTTCCCCTAGGGTCTAAGCCCCTCTTCAGTTTTTGGATTACTTTGGGTTTTAGGAAGGTCTGTTTCACCCATCGCACAATTTGTTAGAAAGACTATTTCTAGGGTGTTGGCTGATGTACACCTAACCGAGAACACGGGGGTAGGGAGACCTTCACTACGAGAGAGTTCCACAGGGTCTGCCTTTCTGTGGTCTTCACAAGGGTTCTCCAACCTCTGATATAAAAAATTGGATTTTACCGCCGTATACACCACTATAATAATAGGCACTTGGGGTTTGGGAAATAGAAAACACACTTGGACCCCTTTATGTTTTGTAATTTATTATTTGCCCTAAAGGAGAACTTCACTAAAGCCATAAATCACCGTGAGAACAGTAGCATTAGAGCTAGCAACAAACACGTATCGTGTGTGTATGGGACTTTCCCGGCACCAAAAATAAATCAATAACAGAAAACAGATATAATTCAATTTATTACATCTTTATTACAAAACATAAAACCATATCTCACAACATGCACTGTAGGCTTAGACCATGGGGGGACAAAACCCCATATACAGTATGACCCTCATAGGTTTAGGTATACCAATCTTGACATGGCAGCTACCCAGTGTGCTTTTCTTTTTTGTGTATCCGTTTGTCTGCATCTTCCCTGGTGTTGGAGTTTTGTGGCCGACCATGCTCTTGGATGGACCCATTTTGGGCTGTGGTTAAGATCTCCTAGATGCCTTCTAGACCACTGTTTTTACAGTTGTCCCATTTTTCCCTTTTGGGACCCTTTCACCATGGGATTGACAAGGTGAGGACAGAGATGAGGATAGGAGATCTCTTAGCTGCCCTCTGGATCTCTACATTCACAGTTGCCCCATTTTTCCCTTTTGGAACCCTTTCACCATGGGATTGCATCACCCCAGTACCAGGCCTATTGTTTTTAACCTTCCTCTGTTGACTTGCAACCACTAACCCCTCTATGAGTTTCCAGGTGTATTTATGTTCCTGATCAAAAGTGATACCTAAAACGTGTCAGACGGCTTCTGCAAGACCATTAGACCTAAATCTACAAGAGTCATACACTACATTGCCAAAAGTATTGGGCCTGCCCTCCAAATCATGTGATTCAGGTCTTCCAATCCCCTCCAAATCACTGGATTCAGGTCTTCCAATCCCCTCCAAATCATTGGATTCAGGTCTTCTAATCCCCTCCAAATCATTGGATTCAGGTCTTCCAATCCCCTCCATGGCCACAGGTGTATAAAATCATCACCTAGGCATGCAGACTGCTTCTACAAACATTGGTGAAAGAACGGGTCGCTCTCGGAAGCTCAGTGACTACAGCCACTTGTTGACCTGCAACCACTTGTTACTGACCTTTGGCTTGTTTACTGACTACGCTTCTGCTTGATCCCAACCTGCTACATCTGCTACTGGACCCCAGCTTGCTCGCCTCCTGGTGAGGCAATCCTGACAACTCGGTACTAACACGCAGCAAAACCCATCCCCACCATCAGGAGTTCTGGTCTGGTGAATACCAGTTAGTGCTTAGACCCCGCACTTCAGGTGAGCCTGTATCATCCGCCAGGGTGACCTACTTGTGTATGTATCTTGCCGGTCTGAGGGAGCTCTTTACTGGTATAGCTAATGGTCTCCGAGGATTACCCCCGACCATGACACCCATAATACAATTTGTTGGATAGACTATTTCTTAGATGTTGGCACCCTAGTGGCCTGCAATCACACAAGTTATCTTGACGAAGAGATGTCATTTTGGAGTTCAAGTCTAATTTTTGCTCACAGCTGAAGTATTTGGAATGCGGCCTTCTTAGAAACGCCCCTTTGGCAGCAGAATCAATATCAAGATATTGTGGTCAATATAAAAAAAACACAAAAATCAGCACAAAGGACATGACTTTTAATGCAGAGTGTCCCTTGTGCTGCTGGCTCCTGGTTTCCGTGAAATCCTCCTCCACTGATGCCTCCCACCTTCATGGTCATAATTGTCTGGTGTGGTGAGCGTTAGGAGAACTAAAGGAGCTGTGACAGGCCCTTATCAAGACAGCCCACCTATGCCCACTCTTTTTTATGCCCCACCCCCTCCTCCATTCACAGAAACTGGTACTACAGCTTCTATGAATTAAATGTTATCCATAAATAAAGGATGGGGGGATGATTGGGTAACACCCTTTAGATTTAACTAGATCACTTTTTTTTTAGACAGAGGCTGAGTAGCAGCCTGGGATGAGTCAGCCTGGGGAGTGAGGTAGTGATGTTACCTCAGGAGAGGCTGAAAGGCTCTATGAGGTCAGGGCTTCTGGAGCCCTCCCACCCCTCCAGAAACCTAGACCAGGGTTGGAGGAGGCCCAGATCTGCATGTTTGAGGGACCCTGGCCAATCCCCTGGCAGGATGCTGAACATGGTGACCAGGGTAACCCTCAAATGTGACAGAGCCTGGGGAGAAGTGCGCAGTGCAGGGTGGACAGGGGCAGACTGACCATTCCAGCACTCGGATACTGCCTGAGGGCTCTGGGTCAGTAGGGGGCTCCATGAGAAATGCCCCTGGTACCTTTTTCACTGCTAGTGTACTCTGAGCTGGGCATGCGCAGCTCAACGTGCATGTACGGCACCTCTCTGAGCTGTGATGATATGACTCCTGTGCATATAAATGGAGGGGGGGGAGGACCAGGGTCCTCAAACATGCAGATCTGGGCCTCCTCTACCCCTGGTCTAGAAAGCTCTCAGGTTTCTGGAGAGGTGGGATGGCTCCAGAAGCCCTTATCTAAATAGAGCCTTTCAGCCTGTCCTGAGGTAACCTCACTACTCACTCCCCAGGCTGGGAAGCACTTACAACAGAAGAGACCAACTGAGTTCAATTTCACTTTATCTGAAAATAACTGATTATAAAATGGCTCCGAGGTGAAAAAAGGTAACGATTTCACCTTCAATAAAAGAAAAGGCTCCAGAACGGTCTTTCAAAAAAACAGAAGGAGATCTTTGCAGAACCACATCAAACTGACTAATTTACTGGAGAGTCAGAACTATTGAGCGTTCCGGGAGACGAGCACAAAAAAAAAACCCGTAATCACCAAATGCATTCTTTAAGTAGTTTGCTGAAACAGTGAAATAAAAAAGAAAAGTGCCGCGTGCTCCCCAAAAAAACGAGACTGGATTGATTTTACAGAGGGCCTCATAAGTCAGTATGGCACTTTGTAGCTTCCTGCGCAGCGAAGAACCCGCAGAATATTAACTACGCCAAGACCAACGATACAACGCACTCCTTCGAGAACAGGACTTGGCCATTTTCATGGGTCATGCATCGGTCGGCGATAGAGATTTTTTTTCAAGTTATTTATGGACTGATATGAAATTTAACCCCTTCACGCCTAAGGGTGAAACAAATGTTAATGCCTAAGCACAATTTTGCAACTTTGACCTGTGTTAGTAAAACCGTTCGTATCATCACAACTACTTCGTACATCCAGGTGGATTATACCGCTTTTGTTTCAGGACAAATTGGGCTTTCATTTGGCGGTAAATGGTAATGGATATCTCCTGATTTTTTTTTCATATTATGAAAGGAAAACTGGCCCAAAATAGTAAAAAAAAAAAAAAAATTTTTAACCACTTCCATACCGGGCACTTTTACCCCCCTTCCTGCCCGGCCCAATTTTCAGGTTTCAGCGCTCTCACACTTTGAATGACAATTGCGCGATCATACAACACTGCAACCAAACTTTTTGTGGTATTTATTCACCGCCGGGGTTTTTATTTTTTGCTAAATTAACAAAAAAAGACCAAAAAATTTTGAAAAAAAAAAAAAAAAACACGTTTTTCTTTGTTTCTGTTATAAAAGTTTGCAAATAAATAATTGTTATTCATAAATTTAGGCCGAGATGTATTCTGCTCCATGTCTTTGGTGAAAATAACCCAAATTAGGAAGTATTATTTAGTCTGTAGGAAGGTTATAGAGTTCACAAACTATGGTATAGATCTGAGTATTGATCAATCCTGAAGTACTGACGGCCAATCTAATTTCTTGAGGTCCAAGAATGTCAGGACAGTACAGATATCCCCCCAAATGTCAGGACAGTACAGATCCCCCCCAAATGTCAGGACAGTACAGATATCCCCCAAATGTCAGGACAGTATAGATATCCCCCAAATGTCAGGACGGTACAGATATCCCCCAAATGTCAGGACGGTACAGATATCCCCCAAATGTCAGGACGGTACAGATATCCCCCAAATGTCAGAAGGGTACAGATATCCCCCAAATGTCAGAACGGTACAGATATCCTCCAAATGTCAGGACGGTACAGATATCTCCCAAATGTCAGAAGGGTACAGATATCCCCCAAATGTCAGAACGGTACAGATATCCTCCAAATGTCAGGACGGTACAGATATCCTCCAAATGTCAGGACGGTACAGATATCCCCCAAATGTCAGAACGGTACAGATATCCTCCAAATGTCAGAACGGTACAGATATCCTCCAAATGTCAGGACGGTACAGATATCCCCCAAATGTCAGAACGGTACAGATATCCTCCAAATGTCAGAACGGTACAGATCAAATATCCCCCAAATGTCAGAAC